CTATCCAAAGATAAGTACACTTCTAATATTTATATTTAATATAATTTTCATTACGACGTTTCTCCACAACATTCTCGTCATGATTATTCTTCAAATAACGTTTGTCCATGTATACCATCTTAAATATAACAAACAGCTATACTTAATGCAAATCCTCGACCAGTCATGTTGGCGCTCGATGTCTCTAGAAATGGCCCTGTCTCCGGCTCCTCTCTACACGTGCACGAGCGTCTGCCCTCTGCGTTATGGGTGGTCGGCAGCGGCTCCTTAGCGACGCTTTGTTCTTCCTACACGTGCACGGGCTCCGCGCCCCGCGTTATGGTTAATGGGCTAGCTATGGCTGGAGACTCAGCTACACACTAACTGGTCGGGCAGTTTATATTAAGTATAAACACAAACTTCACATTAACACTGATGTTTACAAAGCACCAACTGCTTTATCACATCATGCTCATTTGCAAATGACTGCTGAGCGTCATACGCTATTTCTTCACTGCTGATTTTTTCTTCATAATTTATTATTTTGTACATCATGTACTACCATTCTATATATTTATATTACAGGAATTTCGAGCTACGCATGGGGACTTCGTCGCTCGCTTCTCGACCTACGCTCGGGGACTGCCTCGATCACTCTCTGACCACAGCTCGGGGACTTCGTCGCTCGCTCCTCGACCTATGCTCGGGGACTGCCTCGATCACTCTCTGACCACAGCTCCGGGACTTCGTCGCTCGCTCCTCGACCTGTGCTCGGGGACTGCCTCGACCACTCTCCGACCACAGCTCGGGGACTTCGCGTCTCGACTACATGCGACTGGCGACTCGCATACAGTTGAGATATTTTTTCTCCTTTAGACCTTGCTACAAGGCTCATACCTCTCCTTCCAGCAAGCTCGGGGACTACATCGATTGATGCACCTGATGGTGCATGCTGTATCTAATTAACAAGACTCTTTTAGACCCTGGCACTACGTGCCTACGTCACCTACTACCAGGCTCGGGGACTAAGTGGGCACACTTCACCTTGCGGTGAATGTGCTCGTTCTGATGGTTCAAACGCCTCCGATTCTACAAGGACGACCGTGTCTCTTTTCAACTCAGAGTCAAAGTGGGCACACTTCGGGGGAAATATTTTTCAAATTTTATCTTGAGCCCCTTACATCCTTCTGGCAAGCTCAAGACGACGCTACTTGAAGGATACAAGGCGCTCGGGGACTAGCTGTAGGGGTATTAACCCCTATACCCTTACGGCTAGGTTTGGGTCGGCCCAGACCAGGGGGCCCGCGCGCCGACGAGGAGGAGGCGAGCTCTCCGGTCGTCTGGTCATGGCCGCGTCACCGAGGTCCGCCATCACCAGCGCTGGGGCGAGGACGTTTACGGGCTGCACGCCAGGCACCTCCTCTGTCTCCATCTCGACATGCTTGCGGGCACCTCCTCTTCCCATCTTCCTGACGTAGTCGTCGCACTGGGAGAGTCCGCTGGTGAGGGCGGCCGAGGTCGCCGGCGAGGGCGAGCGAGGGCGCCAGTGCTGGGAGACGCCCCCATGCCAAGTGAAGCCACCGGTGAGAGAGAGCGCAGACCTCATGCCAACAGGCGGTGCCCTGCGCCAGATCTGGATTAGGACGGATAGAGAACGGGCGTAGAGAGGAGAGACAGCATATAGGGGTATATAAGTCTTTATCCCTTTCTCCTTGGTATGCGGGTCGAGCTCTAAAACAAAACAACTCTTTTAACAGGACGGAGGAAGCACCTCTTTATTTCCATCCTTCTTGTAATCCTCGAGGCCTTGACGACGTCAATGGCGCACTGCGGGGACGTGCTACCTCTAGATTCAGCTGCTCCTTGAGAAATTCCCGGATGGCACGCAAGGTAGCATAGGGGATCTGTCATCCTGTTTCAGCAAGAGCAAGATATATATGGCTGTGTTTAGTTCGCGAATTTTGGGAATTTAGCTACTGTAGCACTTTCGTTTTTATTTGACAATTAGTGTTCAATCATGGACTAATTAGGCTCAAAACGTTTGTCTCGTAATTTCCAACCAAACTGTGCAATTAGTTTTTTTTCGTCTACATTTAACGCTCTATGCACGTATCACAAGATTCGATGTGATGGCTACTGCAGCATTTTTTGGGAAACTTTTTGGAACTAAACAAGCCCTATATCAATGGTGAGAAAAGGTCTTTGCATGCGTAGTGCTCTACAAGTGTCGCCGTCACGCGCGTGGCCGCTTGGGGGACTATCTTTGACGCCTCTAGCGGCGGTTGTCACGCTGACTTCTCCGAGCTCACTAAAGTGCAATACAAGTGGTACATGTGGAAAAAAAATCGGTGCAGATGATATCCACCGTGCCTCCGTACATACATGACATGAATAGTCCCATGTGTCCGATCAACATGATCCAACAGCGCATAGTGGAGTATGTACGATTGGATCGTGTTGACTGGACACATGGTAACTATCCACGGCATGTATGCATTGAGGCACGTTGGATATAATATGCAAGCAATTTTTTTCCGTAAATGTCTAAATGATGGTACTCCATTTCAACATGTAGCACACATACTCGGAAGTCGGAAGTGTGTGGTTTATAGGAACTCCTCAAATCCAAGAGTGGCGACCCTCACCTCACCCTGCGGCCAACTTGGTCTGGAAGAGCTTCATGCTACCTACATTTAGTTGTTAAACGCAAGGGAGAATTAACCTGCACCGTATTGGGTGACTGCACAAGGGGCGTGTTCGTTGGTTGGTTTCTGGGCTGGTTTAAGCTGACTGGTGTTGGTTTATTGTAAGAAGAAAATACTATTGACTGATTGAATAAATCTAGCTAAAACCACCAAACGAACAGTGTGAATGATGAATGAATGAAATTAGGTGGGGATTCTCTCCTCCGTTGACCTTAAACAAACAGCTCTCATAAATGCTCAAAGCCAGTCTGAATGGAAACAAGCAATATCCCCCACGCGCCAAGAGGGAAAAGTTCCCCAATGCCAAATAGAGTTCTAAGCTCTGCCTACAGTGGTTTGGATGGCTTTGTTTGATTGGATTCTTTTTTCTCTTGGCATTTTTTTATGTACATTATTTGGTATAAACTACATTGAGACAGGCAATCAAATCATACTATGCAGCATTCTTTTGGTAAAGTACTCTACTTTCGTACTATCTGATACCCAGCTTACTTTATTTTTCTCAAAGATCATATTAGTGGTGCTCTATTTTTCTTTATCAATAATACACAAGCACAATTATTAGGTTTCAACCAAAAAAATGCAACAATAATTTAGTATATGTCTGGGTGACATTCAGTCGTTTTGGCCTCTCCTGTCAACTGAATTTTTCCCATGCACTTACACGGTCTTCTATCTATATTTACACTGTCTTATTGTTATATTTACAATGATTTATTTAGTGTAATTTATTGAACAGAGTGATATAATTTGGGAATAACAAAAATATATACTAATTTTTTCAAAAAAAATTACAAATTTTTTCTATGGATTCTAGATATCAGACAAATATATATCAAATTGTTCACAAATATCATCAAATTTTTTCACAAACTTACAAATTTACAATTTTTTCTATAGCGAGAAGCGTGCATGACGAACTGCATGCGACGTGTCCTGGATCGGATCTCCTGCGTGCACGCGCCCAGCTAGCAGGGATGGCGGCCGCTGCTCCACTTTTGCCACGTACTAGGCGCGCACAGATGATGGATGCATACACCTAACAATGGCGGACGCATCGGACGGCCTGGGCCATCGGCCAATGGCAACGAACGGTCCAAAAATCAGTTGCAAGCTCCTAAATTAACCGGTTGATAGATAGCAATACTGATAATTTAACTTGCGGGTTGGGAAAGGGCGAAAGGCCATTTGACTACTACTTGACATCATGATGAGTTGTGCATCTTCTTAATCAATTGAACAAAAAACAAAGCCAGTGCCATAATCAATTTCAAATAGGACACAAGAGCAAGTTTATTATAGGGACTACTACAATGATCACCTTCACAAGAAAAAGATTCTAAGAAAAATATCAAAGAATTGCATGGACCGGCCCCGTTCGGCTTGTTGAAACTTGACTGAAATTGGCTGAAAACACTATTCTGACTGAAAATGTTATGAGAAAAAAATACTGTTCTGACTGAAAAAAAAAATCAAACAAACCGAATTTAAGGTAAGTCGAACAGGGCATCATCATCGAGTAATTAACTATGGAACACCAAAATTTCCACCTTGTTGAACATCTGGTAGTAGTACTCGAAGACGGGTATGAATAGCCATCGCTGCTCAAGAACAACCTAGATCCTGTGAAAATGACATACAGCCTGTTCGTTTCGTTTGTTGATTTCAGTCAGCCCAAACCAATCAGTCAACAGTGTTTTACTCTCACAAAAAATCAGCACCAGCCACCCCAAACCAGCACCAGCACCAACCAGCGAACAGGCCCATAGTAATAATTGATTTAATTGTGAATGGCACAATCATTAAGATGGGCAAAAACTATAGCATTGTTCGCTTACCTTATAAGCCATACTTTTTCAGCCAGCGAACAATATTTTTCTCTCACAATAAATCAGCCAACAGTACTTTCAGCCATAGCTTATCAGTCAAGCGAACATGACATATATGTGGACCAAAACTAAATTGATTTGATCATGAACAAAATTTTGTATGTACACATCTCCACAAAATTCAGATTATAATCGTACAAAACTTTGCAAGCCGATCGAGCACTCCCCGGCTCGCTTCGACTCTCGTGTGTCGTGTGGACAAAACACCTCTGTTTAATTTTGTGCACCTGTTCTCTTCCTGTTCCTGCACAACACATGACGCATAACAAACTAGCCATGGCTGTCTCGAAGCAACAACGAAAACTTTACCTACATGCTATATGAAGCTGGTGCCAATGCAGCCGTGTAACTAAACTCCTACGCAAAAGTCGCTACAACTTTTACATCATCACAGACGGGGACGCCAGGACGAAAAGGGGCCGTTTGTTCACGCGGTCCCGACGGCGGCGGCCGGCGCGGGCGGGCTGTCGCCCTGCCACGCCCAGACGATTTCCGCGAGCCCCGGGCGGACGTCCACCGCGCAGAACTTGTTGAAGTCCAGCGCGTCCCCGGCGTCGTGCGCGAACTCGACAACCGCCACGTCCACGGCCACCTCGAGCACCTCGGCGGTGACCGCGAGCCGCCCGTTTGTGCCCTCGGCCTTGGCCTCCATCCTCACCTTCCAGCCCTTCCCCCTGGTGATCTCGAACCCCAGGGCGCGTGCCACGGACTCCAGCTTCTCCACCACGGTGGCCGCCGGCCCGCGGGCCGTGAACACGGTGGCGGTCTTCTGCTCGTTCTCGAACAGCCCCGACAGGTCGAACCCGGAGGACATGGAGGAGATGAGCTGGAACGCGTTGCAGGACCGAGGCGAGGTGGTGGTGCCAGCAGAGTTGCTGCTGCTGTTGTCGTCGTCGCCGCCGCCGGTGTCGAAGAGGGCACCGCCGTCGTCGTCTCCGGCGTCCAATCGTTTCTTGGGGGGCGTTACCGGGGGTGAAAGGACGGGCGCCACGAAGCCCTTCCTGAACCACGGCGTGCACATGATCTCCGCGATGGAGGCGCGCTTGGCGGGGTCGACGACGAGCAGGCGCGCGATGAGGCGTCGCGCGTCGCCGGAGACCCAGGGCGGCACCTGGTAGTCGGCCTTGAAGATCTTCTGGTACATCTTGACGTAGTTGTCGTGCTGGAACGGGAGGAATCCGCAGAGCAGGACGTAGAGCACGACGCCGCAGGACCAGAGGTCGGCGCGGGCGCCGTCGTAGCCGCGCTTCCTGAGCACCTCGGGCGCGACGTACGCGGGGGTGCCGCACTGCGTGTGGAGCAGGCCGTCGTGGCGCAGCTGCTCGGGCAGCGCGGCGAGCCCGAAGTCGGTGACCTTGAGCCGGCCGTCCTCGTCCAGCAGCAGGTTCTCGGGCTTGAGGTCCCGGTGCGCGACGCCGCGGCGGTGGCAGAAGCCGACGGCGGCCACGAGCTGCTGGAAGTAGCGGCGCGCGTGGTCCTCGGTGAGGCGGCCCCGGGCCACCTTGGCGAAGAGCTCCCCGCCGCGCGCGTACTCCATGACGACGAAGACGCGGGAGCGGCTGGCGAGCACCTCCCGGATGGCCACCACGTTGGGGTGCCGCACCATCCGCATGATGGAGATCTCCCGCCGCAGCTGCTCCACCATCCCCTCCGTGCGCCGCAGCCGCGCCTTGTCGATCACCTTGATGGCCACGCTGCTGCTGCTGCCCGTGCCGGCGGTGCCGGCGGCGCTCAGGTCCCGCGCGTAGTAGACCTTGGCGAAGGTGCCCTGCCCCAGCAGGCGGCCCAGCTCGTACTTGCCCAGAACCAGCTTCCGTTCCTCCCCTTCCCGCCCTGATCTCGCCATGGTTTCGGCTGCTTACTGTTACTACTGGCTGCTGCTGCCTGCTTTGTTGTTGCCGCATCTGGGAGCTCCGGGCGGCCAGGCGCTGCTGATTTAGAACGTGGCGGGCGCGGCCGCGCGGCACATGGTTTTCCTTGCGGGGCCCGGGGGAACGTTGGTTGGGGTGTGGGCTCGGGCGCGGCGGCACACGGGATTTGGCAAGTCGTTGGGCGCCGGTGGCTCCCTTATTTGTATGTAGCGCTAGTGGTGTGATGTGGTGCGCGGCGCGGGCCAACGGGAGGCGGGCACGCGGACCGACCGGACGGGTGGGGTCGGCTCAGTTGAGCCTTGCGGTGGAGGGTGTGAGGTGGAGGCGGGAGCGAGGAAGGAAGGGCCCATGAGGCGTCGTGGGTTGTCGTTGCCGGCGAGGTTGGAGCACGGAACTCGGAAGGGGGCCAGATTCGGGCGGATCTTCCGGATGATTGGGCCATTTTCTGTGCCCGTTCCGCGTTCAGCCTTCAACGTTGTTGTACCATGGCAGCAGCCTTGGCAGGTGAAGAGTTCTGGTCTTCTGGAATGTCCTGTTTGCCGGCGACGTTATGTTTGTTTAGGGAGAGCAATTAGCCGGGAAAGACTGGTCTGTCGTATACATTAGCCATGCTATGCATGTGCTTTTCTTTTGGATTATGAATCAGGGCCTTGTTTAGTTGACGAAATTTTTTGAAAAATGGTACTGTAGCACTTTCGTTGTTATTTGGTAATTAGTGTCCAATTATAGTCTAATTAGGCTTAAAAGATTCGTCTCGTGAATTTCGTCTAAACTGTGTAATTAGTTTTATTTTTTATTTATATTTAATGTTTCATACATGCGTCCAAAGATTCGGTGTGACGGAAAATCTTGAAAAATTTTGCAAAATTTTGGAAACTAAACAGGCACCAGGTCGCTAGCTCGGTACCCTGAGAGAAATAGAGAATGAAAGTCATACTAGCCATGCATGTGCTGGGTGAGTCGCTGCGGTCAGCTGCCTGGCTCCAACAGAAGGCAATGGCCAAGAAGATGCACAAGAGGTCCTAACCTGGAGAGTCTTAGAAACCAGCTTAACCGCCCCTTCTTTATGGAGATCATTATCCTTTTAAGCTGGGCCATATGGATGACTAGAAACAACAAGATTTTCAAGCAAATCAATGCCTCGACGCAAGGATGCAAGGCTCTATTCATGCTGGAGATGGATGCGCTGTTACTGCGTGCCAAGAAAAACTATTCACCAAGGTTACAAGAATGGATAAGTGGAATTTCCTAATTATCAAACCTGTGGTGGTGCACCTGTTAGCTTTCTTTATCTCTTTCCTGGTTCCCTAATGCCTTCCGCGAAACTTTGTAACCTGTAATTTTGCCTTTTTTTTCTCTTGTTACTCCCTGTACTTTACTCTTTTTAATATATCTTCAGTAGGGGCTAAAAACCCCTCCTGCTATTTCAAAAAAAGATGCACAAGAGGCAGATGTTTTTTTTTGGGTTTGGGGGGGGGGCGGCGAGTAGAAGATGATGGTTACACAGGAAGACTGGAAGAGGTTATTTTTTCAATCCTTTATGTTGTCCAACAAATTAATCAGTCTGTATTATACTTTTTGGAGGGTTATGCGGATTGTTGATGCTGCACATTTCACATTTATCAGTTGTGATGATTTTAGGAACAATTCTATAATTTGTTGAGCTGTTACACTCTATCTAGTTCTTCTTCAGATCAGGTTCATCTATTAGTAGGTCACGTTGACACAAAGAAGGACAAAAAACAAAAGTTATTGTGATCATGGGGTTATCCGATGAAAGAAGATCAAACCTCGGGTGGTTAAGAAGGTGACTATAGAGGCATCTAGCAGAAACCAAAGGCTTCACCGGAGGTACGGCGACTGAAGTAATCCACTTTGGTTGTCATGTGATTCTACATAGCTCAAGAAGGAATTCAAGGCCCGCAAGATGATCAGGTACCAAAGAGGATTCATCTAGAGAGATGAAGGTGAAGCTTTGATCATTGTACAATGTTCAAAGCACTCATCATATGGTGCCCAAGAATATTAGTCCTATAAGACCAAGGTGGTTTCTAGGGATGGCTTCCAAGGGTTACTAGAATTTCGTGTGAGTAGGGGTCATCGAGAAATCCGATGGTGTCCATAGGTATAAGGAATATCTAGTTCATTATATCTCTTTGACCTATTCTAGAACTTCGTTAATTCCTATATTGCTAAATAGAAATGCGATTCCTGACGTGGAAAAAGTTTTTTTTTTGTAAAACATTTTGTCTATAAATAGTGCTCCTGTGACATCCAACACAATTTGAATTAGGCTCATGGCCGGTATCCCATGCGTGTGTTGATAGGAGATTGTCGAGGTTTAGTCACATCTTGGTTCACTATCAGATGAAACCTCCTTTTGCAACACATATATGTGTTGCTAAAAGCCTACAATAGCATTGCAAGAGTCTTTACCAGCACATCACTGCAATAGGTGGCATTGCAAGGGTATACTGCAACACATAAATATAAGTGTTGGTAAGTTGCCAAAGAAAAGTGCCGGTAATTTTCAACGGATATATTCGGGCTATGGTAACACTGAAATGGTAGTATTCATGACCAATTCAAAAATTTTGATATTTAATATACATATATTTCAAGTATTTACATTTAATCTTTATATGAATAACAATAGCCCAAACCAAAAACAATATATTCAATTTATGCGCAAAGCTTGAGTGATAATTGTATTATATAATCCTATTATATAGAACTGTCCAAAATACAAAGACTATTCCTTTGACAAAAGCAACCTCGTCAGTGACATCTAGAGGGAGAATAGATGATAACTCTCCCTACGATGTCCTAGAAAGCATTCATTCTACATAGCTGTCCAATTCCAAACTATAATGAGAGAATTCCTTATTTGACACCAGACAAATGATCCGTTCCTTTTTTGGACCTCAAAAAATTTTCGTTCCCTATTTGACACCGAGTTCAACTTTCGTTCCTTATACGACACTCCATTAGGTTTGCCATCCGTGAACCGTTAACTACCATGTGAAAAGACGATTTTGCCCCTGTGGGCCCCACCACCCTTCTCCCTCCTCTCCTCCCCTTCTCCACGGCCCGGCTCGGCGAAGCGCTCACACGTCCGGGCACGTGCAGCTCACACCATCGCCATGGTGTAAGGTCGAGATGGCAGACTAGAGGAGGGGTGAATAGCCCTTTCTAAAATTAATCGTGTCGGCTAACCGAAACAAGTGCGGAATTAAAACTATCGGTCTAGCCAAGACTACACCCCTCTATTTATGTTCTCTAGCACCTTCCAAAGATACTAATTAAGCAACAAAGGTGCTGGGCTAACTAGAGCTCACCTAACCAATTTTAGGAGCAAGGTCACACAAACCTATGCCACTAGTATTTCAAGCAATGAGGGAGCTCATACACATGCTAGTAAGCAAAAGCACAAAGCCAACTAAGCTCACTAGCAATGCTCAATAACAAGGCAACCAATGTCAAATTAGAGAGCGCAAATACTTAGCTACATAAACTAAGCAAAGTGACTAACAAGGTTATACAAACCAAATTAGCCACGCAAGGGAGCTACTTCTATGCTACACAAGCAAGAAGGTAATTGGTGAGCTACACAAGCTAACTAATTGCAAAAGCAACTACACAAGCACAATGTATATAAAAGTAATCACAAGCTTGTGTAAGGGGATTGCAAACCAACGGGAAGAACAAGGTTGACACGGTGATTTTCTCCCGAGGTTCATGTACTTGCCAACACACTACGTCCCCGTTGTGTCGACCGCTCACTTGGTGGTTCGGTGGCTAATTGGCATCACCCGCCAAGTCCGCACGTCGGGCACTGCAAGACCCAACCCCGAAAGTGAGGGTAGCTCAATGACACACTCAACTAGAGTTGCTCTTCGCAGCTCCCGCGGGGCGAGCACAATGCCCCTCACAAAGCTCTTCTCCGGAGCACCGCACAAGCTTCTTGCGGGCTTCGACGGAGACCACCACCAAGCCATCTAGGAGGTGGCAACCTTCAAGAGTAACAAGCACCACCGGCTTGCAACTCGATCACCTAGTGCCACTCAATGCAACCTCACGATGCAATCGCACTAGAATCGCTCTCTCACACGATCGGATGATCACTATCAAGTATATGTGAGATGGAGGGCTCCCAAGCACTCTCAAGCATGGACACAAAGTCCCCTGAGGTGCTTCGCTCCAGCCATGGCCGAGACCACCTTCTATTTATAGCCCTATGGGCTAAACTAGCCGTTACCCCTTCACTGGGCAAAACTCAGGACGACCGGACGCTCCGGTCGTATCGACCGGACGCAGGACCTCAGCGTCCGGTCAACAGATGCTCGCCACATGTCGCCTCCGTTCAACCTCAGTCACGTGATCTCAACGGTCAAGTGATGACCGGAGGCAACTGCTCAAAGTGGCCGGACGCTGAGCCCCAGCGTCCGGTCGTTTCCAGTAAGCATCCAAAGATGACTTTTCACGATCGGACGCGTCTGGTCATGCTTGACCGGACTCACCCAGCGTCCGGTCACACGGTGACTCTTCTGTGTGCTGCCACATCAGCAGGACCAGACGCAACCCTCCAGCGTCCGGTCACTAAGTGACCTAGCGTTCGGTCAAAGATTGACGCCAGCGTCTTCGCGCTTCACCTGACCGAACGCGTCGGTCCTATCGAGACCAGCGTCCGGTCACTTACAGTGACCTCCGTCTTTTCTGTCTAGGGCACCGGTGGCACCGTCGGACTGTCCACACTCTACGGGTGAACACTCCGCCGGTGGATTGTCTAACCCTTCTCGCCTCCGTTTCATCGCCGAGTTGATCCACATCAACTCCAACTTCATCTCCTTTGTAAATGTGCCAACACCACCAAGTGTACACCACTATGTGTATGTGTGTTATCATTTTCACAATCATTTTCCAAAGGATTAGCCACTCAACTTGCCACGCCACTCGATCCTAGCGATGATGCAAA